AAATAGGGAAGGGTGGAGGGGGTGAAGGGAGGGCAAGGGAAGGGGAAAAAAAATAAGAACGAAGATACTCATGTAATGGTACAAGATCCCAATGATGAATGTAACTGTATTTTATACCAAAAATGTACCAATAAAGTTAATGGGGAAAAAAAAATAATTAGGAGGAGATTGTTTATTGGATATGACAATTAGAAGGACATAGATCACCTCAATAAGAGTGATTTTAATAGAGTGAATGAATGTTTGTCTTGTGGTTGAGTCAGGGAAGGTGCTTTCCAGGAGAGGGAGCATTATCAACCAAAGTATGAGAAAACACTACATGTTAGTGAAACTTCACATCATTCAGCACTCAGTGTAGTAAGTAAAGTACTGGAAAGAAAGTGGAACATGTCTTAGAATTATCAGAAAGATCTGGATTGAGAGGAGGGAATGACAACCAGTATTTATTTTATAGTTTTGGTGCTTCACTCATGTTATCTCCAAATGCGTAGTTGATTATTCTTTTTTTATATAACAGAGAAATGACACTCTCAACATTGAGTGACTTCTCAAGTCAAACATTGGTAAACATGATTCTGCCTTTGACAGCAGCTTTCATGAGCCAGTGGTCCCAAGATCTAAGAGGGGATGGATTGGAAGCAATAGTATTGATGTGGAAAGGCACCAGTAAAGTTATCTGAGACAGATTGGGGTTGATAGCCTAGAAAATAAAAATAGGATAAACAAATACATGGAGTTGGAAAGAATCAGGTACTTCATCAGTGATGTTTTCTATTCTAAAATTGACAGTTGCAGTGAGTCTAATTGTCAAAGTGAAGAGTTTGGCCAACTCTTTATGTCTGTTAGAGACTATTTTGATTTCTCTGGAGAACAAGTACATATTCACTTGGTATTTTATTTTAGCTCTTCTGCAATATTCTTCTTTGGAATGGACTCCTCCCAGATGACACATTGAAAGAGTTAGGACTAGGGAAGCTGCTAAATCGCTACCTTATTATAGCTCTACTTCATGCCATTCCTGGGCCAGATGTTGTTAAAAAGTGCAGCCAGGTAAGTTGTGTAGGAACCAATTCAAATTTTTATCATTTTTTAAATATTGCTACGAAAATTTATCTTGCAGCAAAATAATTAAAATTGTGATACTCACATAAGAATACACAAATCAGTTTAAATCTAAGTAGAAACCCAGAAACAGTCCCTCTGTTTTAAGACTTAGTATATGAGTTTGAAATATCACTAACAGAGAAAGGGAAAATCATTTAATAAATGCTGCTGGGACAACTGCTATCTATAAAAAGAGTGTTAGAGCCTTGCCTCTCACTGTACAACAGTATAAATTTCAGGTGAGGGCTGGGGTACAGGCTAGTAGTAGAGCACTTGGCTAGCATATGCAAGGCTGTGGGTTCAGTCCCAGGCACCACAATCAATCATTCAATCGATTTCAGGTCAAATAAAAAGCTAAATGTAAAAATGGAATCATAAGCTATGCTAAGAAAATAAATAGCTGAGGGTAAAGGAGTCCTTTCTAAACTTAAAGGCGAAGGAAATGATGAATAAAACCAGATTTGACAATATAAAACAATAGTGGGTTAAAGAGCAAAGAAAGGGGTATTGAGATTCATTGATCATTGTGAAAGTAGGATAATTACAAGTGTTTGTGAAGAATGGTCTATTTTAAGCACTTAGTAATAAATTATTCAAATCTTATTTATAACTTGATACAGAATGGGAAATTGTTCAGAAATTTCATTAAAACATAAGCTGTAAAATGAGAATACTCAACTTCCATAATCACTGTAAGAGTATGTTAGGAAGAGTCCTTAGATAACTGTCATTATTGTAAATAGCCAGTGTTTTGATTAACAGATAGCAGCATGTCTGCCTGAAAAGTGGTTTGAAAATCCTGCTATGAGGACATCTATTCCCCAGATGGAACACTTCATTCAGTTTTTATTACAATCTGCACATAACTTTTCTAGAAGTGAATTCAGGTAATGCATATTTATTTTTACTTACATTATAATTTTTAAAATCTATGGAAACTTTGTAATACTTTAGAATTGCAGATATTTTTATGGTTACTTTGGAATTGCTTGTTATTTTATATTCATACCTCATGTATATTCATATTTTAAATATAAATCTCTCCCCAGATTAAAAAAGAACTGCATATTACAAAGGAATTTAAATTAAAACTGTAAATTAAAAATCTCTTATATCTAAACGTGTTTTTAATTTTCTTGGCCATTTTTAAAGACTCGGCACTTGTTCAGTAAGGGTTTCCTGCCTGGCATTTAGCCAACAGTACCTGGAACTCTGTTCTGAATAATTCATTCATAGCATCAGATATTTAGAGAATTAAATAGAGTAGTGTTCTGGCAAAATACCTCTGCAGAAAAAATTTAAAAGCCCAGATTTGTAGCATTTGCTGGTGGTCTTGGTGTAAGTAATCGTACCATGGCTCCCACAAGTCAATAACAGCACAGTACAACAGAGATTTCTAGTGACAAGACTTGCACTGTGCTTTTCCACTTTTTAACATATTCACGTTGAAATTTGCAAGAATGCATTCGCTAATTGTCTGTATTTGGGTTTTATAATTATAGTTGTAGTTTTATAATTACAGTTGTAGGTAGCTTAGTGACAGGGATATGTTCTAAGAAATACATCATTAGGCTATTGTGCTGTTAATGCAAGTGTCATAGCATGTACTTACATCAATCTAGATGGGGGAGGCTACTACACACCTAGGGTGTGTTTGACAGATAGATAGGCAGGGAGGAAAGAAGGAAAGAAAGAGAGGGGGGAGGGGGGAAGGAA